AACATCTAAGGATTGTTATATCTGATCAACTTTGCTGAAATGCTCACTGGAGGCCTTGCTATGGATCTAAACCGCATCAACCCATAAATGCAATGGCAGGTGTGCTGGGGAATCTTTACTCCCAGCTGCTCAGTGGGAATTAGAGTGAGTGTTAGAAGACCAATAAAACCAAAGGACCTACTTCTAATTCACACCAAGACACCTTTATACTGTCACAACAGGCAGGAAGCGAGAATATGAATCATGTCCAAGAAGCCAAAGGAAAAATCCCCTTTTTTCACTTCAGGAAGTTGAAGTAGCATTATTTCTCTAACTAGCACAAGCATACTAGTTCTCAGGTTGTCCCAAAACTATTCCATGAATAAGGAGGCAGACAGGACCTAGATTTCTTGTGTATAAAAGATGAACAAAATGCTACCAAAGCCTTCATTAATACATCCCTAAAGAGGAATGGAAGAGGGGCCTCTGATAGTATTTATGCATGAACATTTTTCAGACTCCAGTAGCCCCAGCAAGATGTGAGCAGAAAATTAGCAACGGTCTCAACTCCCCAAAATAACTCATCTTGGAACCTTAGACAAGAGTAACCAGAGAATATCCAGAAATTTCTCACACTTGTACCTTGTCATAGTCATTCACACTTCATCCTTGTGCAGGTTTCACCATGAATTCCTAATGGGACTTCTCTTGAAATCTAGAGTGGATGTGCAAATGGGCATGCTTCTCCCACTGATTTTCTGTAGGATGCATGTTTAACACACCTTGGCTCTTTGAGGAAATCTGGCTTATTTTATTTCTTCTTTGCTCTTTTTAATCTATTTCCTCCACAGTATCCAAACTGCATCTCACATTTTTACACTGTTTTAGCAGCTCAGAAATTTATGGCTGCAATGATCCCTTCCTGAAGTTGTACTAGATCTTACAGTTTGGTGGGAAAAAACCCTGAGGAATAGGCAATTCTACATCAAAACCTGAGTGATGGCTTGATCATCAGTCATGGTACACAAAACTGAACATGCCAGAATATTTACATCCTAATGACTCTTGGACAGTAACTTTACTGGGTTTGTATTTTTTTGCATGTCCAACTAGTTGAGGGAGCAGCTCCAAATATCACTATCCCTAAATAATTAATTATACTGGCCAAACAGGTCTATGAAACAGCATATAGTTGTTATACATATTTTAACAAGAAGCCTCCAGAAAACAGACACTGATAACAGTACTGGTATCTACAACAAAGTGATCAGGACCTAGCTAACAGCTCCATCTTTGAACAATTAGAAGCAATTAGTAAAGGTTAGATTAGAAACCTCACAATGACAACAGGAACAGAAAAGTGGGAGCAGCAGAAAAAAATGTGTCATGAACTGAACCAGGAATCCAGAGCCATCCACCCACACAAAAACACATGACCAAGTTGCAGTAGAAGCTGTTGATCCTGGATTGCCCTCATTGGTCATCTTTGGACCCACAGATAAGGCAATCATGGAAGACAGTCACCCTCGACTGCAAGAGATTGCCAATGATCTAGTGCCCTGCATACTTTCAAAGAAATTTGCAGCGTCTGCTATTTCCCAGTTATTTCTGCAGAACGGAAAAAAAGAGAAATAAAGAAAGGGTGTTCAGATACCATGGTGATGGGCACCATATAATTTGGACAGAGACAGAATAGCAAGAACGCAGAAAGGTGGGCTGGTGGATGATGTTAGTGTACTTTAATTACTGTACTGAGTGACTAATACAAAGAGGTGACAATATCTTTAATGTAACACAGAAAGCCAGAACTTTCACTGGTGTGAGGCATTGTGATCATGGGAACTATACCAGTATGGACCAGCTGCTGACCTGGCTCTCAGACCATATCATTCCTGTCCTCTTGAAAGTAAGGGCAGAACCTCAGCTTCTGTAACACATAAAAGACTACTAATATAATTCTTTCTTCCAACTATATATTTACTGAGAACCTCACTCAAAACCTCGATCTGCAGGTTTCAGAGAGAAAGTCACAATACCTGCAAAGTCTCTGCACCCTCTTCTTTCAGACTACCATGCTGTCTTATAATGAAAGTATAAAGGTGAGAAGTTGGGTACTGGGGTATGATGAATCAGACTGAAGTACTTCCCTCTGTTGTAAAGTCTGTGGTTCAGAAAACTAGTGCACCAGGGATTCAGTGTGCCCGACCTTTACAGAACTCCCTGGCACGAGTCGGCTTGCAGAGAAACAAAGTCTGATTCCAATTGAGCAGCCTATCGATATCCCAAAGGGTCGTAGGATACTGTGCTATTAATATAGCAGAGCTTACATCTGAGCCTGTGCAAGGAAGGATTTGAGAATTCCCCTCTCTCTCTCCCTCCTTCTGCAAACCCACACTAGTTCAGAGTCAGTGTCTCATCCTGCAAAGTACTGAGTGCCTTACGCAGTGTTCTGAGGCTCTAATCTGCTCACTTCAGCACCTTGCGGGATAGGTTTTATATTCTCTGAAAATCGTAGCTGAAGCCAAGAGCAGAAACACACTATTGCTAAAGCACCACTGCCCTCTGCTGTTCACAATGCAAATAAGGATCCACACAAAACACTACACCAAAGGGCCTGGAATTCACTCCTGAACTACATTGTCTGCAGTCTAAGAGCTTTTTCCTATTAATTTCACTCCCCAAAGAATAAACGTGCTCATTTAATGACCTGCCTGCACTACAGAAATGAGCTGGCTTGGAGCATACAGCTCCCCCACCCAGCTGCAGACTGGAAAGATTGTATTAAGAAAGGATGTCTGAAAATGCTGCATAGAGATCAAATATGTACTGAATTGTCTGCATTGCAGTTCAGGAAAAATATTCTTTGCACTGAGAGAGGAGAGAAGGCATTAAACACGCGGATATTGGGTACATCTACACAAGATGCTTTACTGCAGGAGCTGACTAATTAGCTCCAGTGTAAATCACCCCTGTCTACACCTGTGGTGCTATTAGGCCACAATAAACTAATTAACTCTGCTGCAGGGTAGTACTGGCTGACAAGTACTATTCTACAGCAAAATTGTTACGTGCAGCAAAACACGTGCTACAATGTGGGGGCTCCCTGCTGGCTAACTAGAGTAACCACCTTTTCAAAATGGAAAGGCAGGACACATGTCCATCTCTCCTACCCCACAGCAGCATGGCCGGAGCAGAGCCAAGAGGAGGCCAGGGGGGCGAGGGCAGATGTGGGCTACCACTGCAGGCTTAGGGCTTCTTGCCTTTCTGCCCTCCCTATGGGAGCCCCATACCAGCCACACTGCCATGACACGGCAACCACTGCCTGCCCAGCAGCAGCGGGTGGCACCATCACTCTTACCACCCCCGCTGCTGCCAGGCAGGCAAGTGGTGCCTTGCCATGGCAGCAAAGCCTGCACGGGGATCCCATGGAGATGGCAGCAAGTCAAGGAATCCCAAGCCCTCAATGGACAGCCCATATCTGCCCCCAGCCCATACACAAATCTGGGGGAGAGGGGCATTTGCAACCCCCAATGATCCCCTCCCCGGGACTGCAAGCAGCAGCAGGGAGCCAGCCCACCAACCAACCCCTAGACAAGTTGCCTGTGGCTCTGTCCCACCCCGTATCTGGCCCCACAGACATGTATTCCCACCCTGGCACTAGTTATCCCCAAACTAACACCCTCATGCCCCAGCCAGCTCCTCCATAGCACGTTGAGCTGGAAGGGAGCAGCCTGATCTAGGGCCAAGAAAACACCACTCAGATGGGGCTGCGCCACTCCAACTCGATGTGCTGTGGTCCTGGGCACATGTATAAACACTGTACCTAGGAGCAATTAACTCCGGCACAAAATTTCACCAGAATTTATCGTTTTGCATTAATATCATGTGTAGACATTCCCACTGTCTCTCCAAGTATCACAAGCTTAGATTTATTTATTTTTTTGTTAGAATTCCTTCAACAACATTAACAATTTTTTCTTACTGTGGCTGTTACAAGCCATTGCCTGAATCCCTTGGAATAAGATCACTAAGTAAGGACTGGAAGCCAGACCCATCACTGACAAGTCTGAAATCAATGCAGAAGTTTATGCTTGCATTATATCTGACCCATTTTCTAACATTCACTATCAATTAAGGTTGCAAAGAAGCAGAGACTTATTCCCATTTATCTTGGGAGCAAAAGTCATAATGAAGCTACAAAACAAGTCCATTTTCAACTAGACTGTCCAAAATTTCCAAGGAATATTCCTGTTGGTGACAGCCTGTCTCTTGTTGGCTAAAAAGGACAGGAGAGAAATCAGTATCATTTTTTGAGGCATTCAGATGTTGTGTCATGAGCAACAAAATTAAATAGATTAGACTGAAAAAAAAACCTGCAATTTATTACACAAGCCACAACATTTAGTAATTTTTCTCAGATCTCCTCATTTTAGATTCAGGTAAGCCTGAATAGTTCAGTTGGTAGGACATCCGACTTTTTATCTGAGGCTCCAGGGTTCAAATTCCTTTCAGGAAATAGCTTTGGGGATTGGACTACATGACCTTTAAGATCCTTTTCAATCTCATGGCACCCATGTCATGATTTACGAGCCTTAGTTTCCACGTAATTAAAATAAACGTTTGCAGTATTCATTGCTGCGGATTGCTTGTAAATCGCTAAACTCATCAACTCCTGTTCAGAAGATAAATAAAAGAATTAGTTATTGTTTCTTTAAAAGCTCAGGACTTTGGGAGCCTGAAACATGATTTTGGAATGGCTGATGTTGTAGGTAGGATTAGACACCTTTAATCAACAGGTTGAAAGTCAGTCGTGTGTGCGGTGTAGAGCACATGCTCAGGCCCTCTCTGCCCTCTACGCTGCCTAACTTCTGGCCTAGCAGAAAGTGAACAGGGCTTGTTTCTCAGGGGTAGTCCCAAGCTCAGCACAGAGGCAGGATAGTCGGGACCTTATTAACATGGATGCCATCTGAAGCTGCTGCTAAGGAGAACATTTTCCTAATGTTAAGAGATTTTTTACTGACCAGAAGAGTTCTGCAAGGCTGAAGGGAGCCATGGTCAGGAACATGGCCAGTGATCCATAAATACCCAGCATCAATGTAATCCGACTCAAAAGGTCTCCAACTGCAAAATAAAATAAGAAAGCATGAAAGTTTCTCTTGATGTAGCCCTATGGTCTGGGGAACAGAAGTGAAAAAACTCTCTCCTGTCATCTGTTGTTGATCTGCTGGAACTGGAAAAACATCAAATCAGCAGACCCTCATCTGTATGGGCAACGACCCTTATGCCAGTGCAAACATTTCGATTATTTGAATGAAAATTCACTTTAGTTGTGTGTACTGAGGTAAATCATTCTTATTTAGATTTATATCCTGTCCTATCCAAAAGGCTCAGAGTGGCTTACAATAAATGATCACCCACCCAATGCAACTAAAAGGCAGCAGACCTGTACTGAATAAGTCCAAGGCAAGGGCAGTCTCAAAGCGTAAGGTAGGGAGCAAAAAGCACAGGGTGGGGAGGTAAAACAGGTGCATCCACCTGGTAACTTCGACTCTGTTGAAGGGCCCCGCATGTCACTTTTCCTCTTGCTGGGGAAGCAGAACTTAACAACAGTAGACCTGATGAGTCTGTCTCCTGTCTCACCCTGCTATCACCAAAGCTGAAATCACTAAGAGCTGGCTGAGGAGACAGAGTATGTGGTGATGAAAAACAATGCAGGGAGGGTAACAGTCCTCAGATTTTCTCTATCACTGGACTCATGGATAACTGGAATCACTAAGTCAGTGGTTCTCAGCTGAACCATGGGACCCTTTCAGGAGTGCAGCAGGACAGGCACTGCCCCTGCTCCAGCCAGGTGGAACTGCCCTGTGCACTTCAGTGCACAGCCACATAAGCAGGAAGGCTCACCTGCTCTTGCTGCAGCTCTTCCCAGTCCTCCAGAAGCAGAGGCATGGAGAATGGTTCCACCTAATCCCACATGCCCACTTCCAGGAGTGTGTGGGGTCAGACCAGGAAGGGCTGAAGTAATAGTGAGCACAGCTACCTGCTTCAGGCTCACCTGGCTGTGCACAAGGTGCACAGGGCAGTTCCACCTGGCTGCGGCTGCACCCCAGTTGAGAACCACTGTGGAGAGCTGAAACAATACAACAGTGATTCTCAACCAACATGATGCCAAATTAGATAAAGGTCTTGAGGGTGCCCTGAACCTAAAAAGGTAGAGAACCACTGCACTAAGTACCAGAGCAGGTAGTTGAGCTTTGACACAACATTACAGCTGCAGATAGTGGGTTATAAGATATAGCCATACAGGAGCATGGCACAGCCGACCCTAAGAATAGAGCTGTAATCACTAATGGGTAGGTGAGATGGTGGTGGTGCCTTGGGCCTAGATCAGGCTGTGTGGAGAGCCAGCATGGAAGCAGCAGCAGTGCATCTCTTCATAGAAGCCAAAGTACACTCCACTCCCAGTCCCCTCAGGTAGCGGTGAACCTGCCTCTGTACATGCCCAGATCATGTGGCTTCAATAATTCCTGATAACACAATGAGCGGGGCACGGCAGATGGAAAAGCAAAATGGCAAAGATAAATTTATCTAATGGTTAGTCACACCAGAAAGTGGGGAAAACTGAGGCAAAGGACTGCCATCCAAGATAGTGTTATGCTTAGTATTTGCATATTATTGATGCATTATGTTTTCTTTTCCCAAAGTAGCGCTGTGTTTCTTCTCTTTTGCAAGCATTGCCTATTTGGGACATGAAAGGGACCTTTTCCCACATTTCTAGAGAGGGCATTGAGTTGGGCCACATTTATATTCAAACTGTTATAGCAAACTGCTATAGGCAAATATGGGTATAGATCTATAAATCAGAAGTTCATACACCAGGGAGCTGAGGTAGCAGCCTGAGTAAAACCATATGTGACTGAATCTCACCATGGTGACTACACTGCTCTACCTTCTGCCAGCTGAGCACCTGGCCCTTCACCCTCCCGGACTCAGAATATTGCTCTAAGGCCACAGAATCAAGGTGAAGACTTAAGTCAGTTCTGCAGCCTCCTCACCACTATGACTGTGGCTACACTGATGCCCTCAAGCCCAAATCCACCAACCACGTACACTATAAACCTTGAGCTTTGAGCCCCCACCTCTCCACTGCAGTCCAGACCCAAGGGAAAGCCATGCTGCAGCCTGCCCTGTGTGTTGTAGCATTTCCAGAACTCTTTCAGCCCCGACTACAAGCAGTCCTCCAACAACAATCCCATAATGCCCTACCCCTGACTTTCTGCCCTCCTGCACCCCAATTCCTCTCTCTACTGCCCCTCTATTGGAGACAAGCAGAGTTGGAGAGAAGTTTCATGGGCAAGCCAATTCCTCAACATGCCCCTCTCAAAGACCAGGAGGCCAAGCAAGCAGTGGCTATGAAGTGAAATGCCAACAGAGGAGCGCTCAGACTGACCGAAGGCAACACTTGGTCTCATCAACACGGCCTGGCACCAAGCGCAAACCTGCAACTTGTACTGAAAGCCATCCTGTCCCCAGTCCCATTTAGCCACATTATTTATACTGATGCTTTTCAGACATTTCACAGACACTCAGGGGGGTGGCTACTGTAGCCAATGGGTCTGTAATCCTAAAGCTAAACCCAGGGAGCAGTCCAGGCTCTGGCTAATTTCTGAGGATGGCAAAAAAACAGAATGAATCTAAGGTGTATTGAAGTGTATTAAGATGGAAAGATGGGCCTTTGAGGGACTTGCTTAGGAGACCCGTGTTCAGTTTTCAGCTCTGCTACAACTTCACCTTGGCCCTTCACCCTTAGGATACACATGCTGATGTGTCAGTGGGAGTTTCCTGAGCCTCCTCTACCCCTACTCCTGCTAGCATGCTCCAGACCCACAAGCACAGCAGCAAGGCTACAGGGGAGCATACTCAGGCAGCCCCTGCTGTAGAGCTGTCCCACGACAGTGTAGACAAACTCCTAGTCTCTCCATGGTTTGACTCCCAATCCTACTTCCTGACCTCAGAGATTGAAAAGCATTTTTTATCTGCATAAAATGTTGAAGCACTCAGATATTACAGCAATGGGGATGATATTAGCACAATGGGTAAATCAACTATGTAATAAAATGTTAAATGCAGATTTTTCAGTTTTGCTTGCTTTTAATGTCTTGCGCGTAAAAAATAGCAGTTTGAGTTCACTTCAGCTACACTGAAAACTTGCCCCCCATTGGGGGCCTATAGATACTGTGCCTTGCAGAAGTGTCTATTTTATGCATGGATCAGTGCCTCAATGAGTAGGAAACAATTTACATGCACTTCAATTACTGGACCTACATCAGTTTGAACTGCTGAGGATCTGGTCCAGGATCATTACATCTAAAGGAAGAACAAAACTGTTCAATCCAAACTTGTTTTTCTTCTCCCAGTGTAGGTATAACAGGCCTGTGATACTATGTTACTCAGCCATCCTTGCAGTTTTGGTGTTTTTTCTGACTGCTACCAGCAAAGTCCTTCAGCTGAAGTTGGGAAGCAGACAGCCCACTGAAGTCAATGCAAGATGTCTTGTATGTAATATACTATGGCTCAGATTTCCTGATGTTTGAAGCAAGATTAATCAAGTCAGCCTAAGCATAGACAGAAATATTACCCGTCTTTCAGCATTGTGTAGCAAGCAATATTTCTGGATGCTGCCTCCCTGCTTTTAATGTCATATTATCCTCTACATCAATTCAACAATGCTTTGTTTTGTCATTTGGAAATCATAAATACAGATGCTCTGCTATCAGCAGCCATGTTTTCTGTCCATTTCTTTCTGCAGGTCTTCTTACAATAGCCATGGGAATCATCTCTAATGGAGCTTAAAACTGCTCAAAGTAACATTCATGGAGTATCAAAGCTACATCCAAAAATGTTACTAATCACTGAACTAACAATATTTACAATGGCAGGTATCAGAGTAGATTTCCCATTACTCTGAGCGCTGAGGACATTTTACAGAAGAGGCTTAAAGTGCTACGAAAGGCAGTGCACCATGCGAATCCCATGGTGACTTAGACACAAAGACTACAGTGCATCACAGGTGATGCACAGTCCAGCCAAAGAGCAAACCCATAGGAGAGAATGTAGCACAAAGATACTCAGAGCTACAGTTCTACAAGGCAGTGACAGCTCAGGCAGTTGGTCCAAAACAGATTGTTTTCATATTTCCAACATTTCCTGGAACTGATCTCTCTGTTAAAAGTTTTAATATTTTTGAACAATCCAAAGTGTCAAAACATCAGAGTATTCTAATGGATGGAAGGTACTTTCCCCCCAGCATTTCAATAAAATGTAACTGGATTTTGCTGAGAGCCTCCTGAGGAGAGGGAAGCAATGGCCATATATCTAACAACAAAATTCACAAGGGGGGCATTGCACCAGACAAATTATAGGATTCTGCAGGCACTTCACTTACAGAAAGTGGTTTGGTTTGTGTAGTGCTTCACTGACAAGCAGCTTTTATAGACAGTTATTTCCTAACTACAAATGTAATTAGAACGGAAAGAGGGCTCTACTGAAGAAACCATTAACAAACTAGACTGCCGCATTCTTAT